TCTATCATTTTCTGACGAGTTAGAGAGCTCAAACTTTAAATTAAGCTCTATACCTGATGCTAATTCTTAAATAGGGCAAACAAGATTTATTTTTAACTGAAATTTAGACATCTGTCTGACGCGAATTAACTTAGAGGTTAAAAAAAACTTAAAAAAAATATTGGAAATAAAAAATGACCCCAAAGTTTTTCAAGTAGACTGTAAAAGGGAAAATAATTTAATCAGACCTAAAACGAAGGAATCATTACTTTCATGCTTTCATTTTTTTATCTATTTAAATTTGCTACCACTAAAAATAAATGAAGAAAAATAACTTTGCTACCACTAAAAATAAATGAAGAAAAATAATTTTGCTACCACTAAAAATAAATGAAGAAAATTAACTTTGCTACCACTAAAAATAAATGAAGAAAAATGACTTTGCTACCACAAAAATAAATAAAGAAAAATAACGTTACTGCCACTAAAAATAAATGAAGAAAAATAACTTTGCTACCACTAAAACATAATTGTAGAATGTTTTCAATTTCATATCATTATAAGCGCACGATTTACTCAAAATATGTACGATAACTCAAAATTTTAATTTTTATTAAAGTTTGAAAATAACGAAGAATATTTTATTAGAAAATAAGCTAGATTATGTTCTAATGAGTTTATTTATTTCGAGTAAAAATTACGGTAAAGTATTTTGTATTTATTTTTTTTTACATTTTTATTATTTCTCTTTTTTCACGTTTAATAGAAAAATACATTTATTTTACCCATACAGATTTCTTTCTTTTTTAATTTTTTTCCTACCAAACATAAATAAGTACGTCGCACAAAATCAAATTCTTCTGTTTCCTTCATAGAAGAATTTAATTAAATTTCCTATCATCTCCACGCAGCCATCGCATTTGCTTTGTTTCTGATGCTAAATCCTCTTTTTTTCAGCCACATTTTTGAAGTTAATGTCTTAATACAAGCTATTATTACTTATTTTCAGAAACTAAATACAAAGCTTGTTGATTTTATAACAGATTAACTTCAAACAGAAAAGTTGGAATTAAAAATGCGCTACCTGCTAAATCAAGAATTTTATTTTAACAGCCTAATTATATCAAGAAGACTTAAATTCTTGAAAAAAAATTCTTTTAATTTTTTAAATATTGTTTAAAAATTCTCTTAGACAAAATAATCATAGACTTATTTTGCTATTAATTAGCACATAATAAATAACATTTATGGCAGTAATTATGCACGGTGTCTGCATAATTTATTTCATTGCAGACGATTTTTAAGGCTGGCCAGACGATCGAGCGGCTAGCGTGCCTGACTGCGAAGCCAATGGCTGTGGGTTCGAATCCCGCTCAGGGTATGGATGTTTCTCTCTGTGTTGTTCTCTATTGCCTGATGTGTGAATGAGGCCCAACCTTTTAAACGGTCTGTAGCAGTGTGGCATGGGTAATGTTTCTCGCCTCCGTCACTTAGGTTCACAGGTGCCCAATGGGTAACGTTAAATGAGTAACACTTGCGGTATCTTCCTAGGCGAAGGACGTAAAAGTTCAGTGCCTACCATTAGAAAAAAAAAGAAATTTAAGCAGATGCACATAAATTCTTAATAATTATTTTACAAAAAGTATTTCGTAAGACAAAACTAGAAGAAAATTGTATCGCAATATTTGAGAGAAAGATTTTGCGGAGAATGGCGTAAATGAAACCAATAACTGGAGATGGAGATTTAACTTTGATCGGTATAAGATTTATAAACAACCTGATATTATTTAACACATGAAAATAAATTGAATGAATTGGAAGACCCGCGTGATTCGAATGAGAGATGACAGTACAAAAAAAAAGATATTGCTTTTTAGACCCACTGGAACAAGTAAGCGGCGAAGACAGAGATTGAAATAGGCTAATTTGGTTAATGAAAAGAACTGGAGATAAAAGATACAGAGGAAATCATTATGGAGAAAACTTCAGAGGAAGGCATTGGCCCTCATTGGGCTGTCTGGCCAACTATTATGAAGATGAATTATTTTACAAAGAGTCTCATAAACCTGTAGATGTTAAAAAAAGTTAAAGTATTCGAGGGAAATGAACTAGACACACAATTCAAAAACTGACACTAACGATGCATGTAAGTAAATTTTCATGATGTTGCATTCTTAAAAATAAAACTCTCACTTTGGATGATTCATCAATCCCTTAGCTGCATTTCGTTAATTTTGAGAATCATTTCGCCACGAAATCACGTGAATCGTGATGAAACTTTTAAAAATGATTATCTGGTAAACTTTAAGATCGTGGATGCACCGGCAGATTTACCTCCTTAAGAGATACAGCTCGAAAAGCTCTGAAGGGGTAAAATTAAAGGAATGGGTATTTTTGAAGAGGCAATGAGAAAAAGCGAGTTAAATTTTTTTATTGGAGAATTCTTAGTTTCATCTTTTCTCGTTTGGGGCGCTATATGTAATGCTACTGTCTGTTGTCACTATTCACTGATCAACTTAATTTATCATATTCAACTGAAACAGGCAAAATAAAATATGAGATGTGAATCACGCAACCTAATCTTTATAGTACTTTCAATTAGATTTTATTCTTATTAATAAAAAGTCTTCTTCGTTTAAATCAATTTCTAGTTTTTGCAATCGTATTTCTAATTTTTACCCGTGACAGCAATATTTTAATTGGTTAAACATAGGTTTATGAGATTCATTAAAAATTAGTTATCTGTCAGATTAAATGAAATATATTTCATTATAATACTTTGTCTATAACATAATTTAATAAAGTAATGTATAAAAAGATATAAATTGTTATTTTCTTTAACATTCGATCATAACCAGTTTTTTTTCTATATCAGAATACTATAAAAACATTTTTATGCTGAAGTCTTGATATTATGACATTTTTTGCGTGAGATAATGTATATATTCTCTCCTGACACACAATATATATTATTTTTTTACGACTTTTCTTGCTGATAGGCAATATAATAGGTCTTTCTCTTCTCCGATATTAAAAGTACCTTTGTACCATGTTGCTCTTTCAATCTTTGAGACAGAAAATAATTGTATTAACACATTCTGATTCAAAAAATATATTGAAAAATATAAAAACAGAACTGAATTTAATGAATGAAAACTTTAAAAGATAAACGTTGTTATTAGATATAATTATATCGTCATTCTGGTTGACTTAGGACTCAGAGCTCAAATTATGATAATTCCATGAAACTTACGACATATGACCGCGAGTTGGGTTATTAGGATTAATCTCAACTTATGATTGTCTTATCTTCAGTGATTAGTTAATTGCTGTAAATCTTTTTTCTAAGTTACTCAAATGTCAAATTTAAAAACAGGGGACGCAAATTTGAGAGGAAAATTGCAAATAAGAATCAGGAGATAATTTATTTATCGATTGGTTTATTGATACAACATATATTTTCAGGCTCGTGTGCTCAATCTAGACTTATAAAACTTAGTCAAGTAGAAGGACAAATGGCACAATTCAGAGAAAGACAGGTCCCACAGTGGACTGATCGTTAAGACACGGTTCCCAGCAGATCACCGAAGTCAAGCATCACTGGCTGCGGTCAGTGTGCGTGTGGGTGGTCACTTGGATCTGTCTGCGTAGGGATCGAGGGTGTGTGGTACTGGTCCTCGTTTAACTGTTCTACCGTAGAGTGCTCGACTTTTCATGCAGGTTGTCGGGCTACCGAAGCGGGGATGCCATCCCCTCTGCAGAGGATCAAAATTGTGATGGCATGTCTTCGGATCATCCTCGGGGATGTTTCCCAGACCATCGCCAATAGCCCATTGTGCAGCTCTAGTACAACGTAAATGAACTACAACTCATAGAAAGACAGTACAAAGAAGCATCCAAGGTAATAGCGGAATTTGAACCCGCTACCTCTACTCTATACACAGCGTTTGGCGGTAGATACCACTTGGCCAGAGGAGGCCCCTCTATTTATTGGTATACATACATGCTGGATAGAGTGCTTAATAATATAAGTCCGGTTTATAAGCTTTTTTCAAGAAGAAAGGAAAGTACAATTCAGAGAAGGACAACACGAAGATACATCCAGTGTTACAACGGAATTCAACCCCACTACCTCCAAGGAGGATGTAAGAGCATTTACTTTAGAGATTATTGTTAACCTTAGGCCTACAGTTACATTCCATCACAGTCGAATGAAAGAACAGACGGAACAATTTAGAGAGTACGGTTGGAACCGAAAATTATATTAAAAAGCTGCAGAGCGTTTAGAGTTTGTGTGAGTGTAAGCTAATGTTGCATAGTAACTGCCTAGGGTCAAATTTCGTGATTAGAGTTGAAGTCGGGTATACTTCAATTAATCTCTTATCTGCTGTGTTCCGCAGTGAATTGATCGTTAATACACGGTTCCCAGCAGATCACCGAAGTCAAGCATCACTGGCTGTGGACAGTGTGCGGGTGGGTGACCACTTGAATCAGTCTGCGTACGGACCGAGGGTGTGCTGTATTGGTCCTCGTTAAACTGATCTACCGTAAAGTGCTCGATTTCGCTCGCAGGTCGTCAAGTTACCGAAGCGGGGGTGCCATCCTCTCTGCAGAGGTTCAAAATTGGGATGGCATGTCTTCGGATCATCCACAGGGATGTTTCCCAGACCGTCGCCAATAGCCCATTGTGCAGCTCTAGTGTGACGTAAATCAACTACAACAATCAATATTAGAAGTTGTTTTGTAAATATGATGTAATATTTTTTTGTTATTCACTTGTAAGCAATCAAGGCTATTCAGTGACCTCAGGATACGAATTTACGACGTTCCAACGCTTCGAATTTTTATGATTGTCGCACTTTCATATGCAAGTTTGAGTATTTAATGTCTGTAAAGTTGTAGAACAGCTTGCTTAAATCGGAAAAGTGCAACACAATCAGGGATGCGGATGGATTTCAACTCACTTGCTCGATTCAGAAAACTGACAGACCTAAAATGGTAGCGTTGTTGCGATGAAAGAAACAAGCAGCTAAAAGCGTCTTCAAAATTCACTCAATCAATAAATTGATGTTGTTTATTGTGATATCCAGTGCATTTTTATCTGGAATACAAAATATATAATTTTTCTACAATTTGCTACCACACTACAATTTGCATTCCAGTTACCAGATAGGATCACCATAAAGTTTAAACCTCAAGATGGATGGGAAAATGGCAGTAAACGGCCTCAGGCTCCCAGATAAATTTTGATGATGTTTATATCCAGCAGCTTTTAAGAATGCGTAGACAGCTATAAAGGATTTACGATTCGGTAACTTTTACAAGCTTTTTTTAAAAAAATAGTTTTATGCATTCTGTTTTTAAAGAATTGTTTGAATTGTGCTAGCTTATTTGTGCTAATTTATCAAGAAAAAGAAGCGATTAGATTTGATTTTAGAAATTTAAATTATGAGTGTGAATCCAAATTTGTCAGTGCGACCTACAATAGAGTTACTGTATAACTAAGGGATTGTGACATGTTTGCTTGTAAAAATTTTACTACAAACTTATAAATTTATTAGTAATTCTAAATTGTGCTTGGTAATTTAAAATTAGTATTTTTTTATGACATGAAGTGCTTTTTTTTTCAAATTTGTAGCAGTACAATTGAAGAGAGTGTATTGTATAACATTTAATATACATAATTTTGTGTAATCTGTGAAAACGCTAGAATAACAAGCATTCAATTACGCATTAATAACTAACTTTTCTTTAATCGACGCTTTCCATTTTCTTTTGAAATCCTGATATATTGAGAGAAATATGTTGTAAATGAAAGAAAACATATGCTTGATTACATAGTAGATTGCTATGTTTTTATATATATANACACACACACACACACATACACACACACACATTCATATATATATATGTGTGTGTGTGTATGTTTAGGTATGTAGGCATGGATATATTGGGGAATAGTATTTAAACCATGAATATTTTAGAAAAGGCAAGCTTATTTTTAAGACTATTTACTTATCATTAGAACCTCTGTAACTGTTTGATATCGTTGCTCCGCTAAATGCCTGGAGCAAGGTTGCAGGCTTGAACCCCCCTAGTTGTGGATGTATCTTTCTTTAATGTGTGCTATTTGCTCTTCTATTTGTCTGATCTTAGGGTAATAATCCACTCCTAGTATTTAATAAATCAAATATGAGAATGTCCGTAAATAAATAAATAATAATTTCACGGAGAAATGTTATGTCTCTGGTACGTTTTATTAACGAACTTTAAAACAATTTCTAAGACACCGCGTGGTTTTTAGAATTAACGAGCTGAAAATTCAGTAAGAGATATTATTAATAGAAATTTTTTTTTTTATAGATGAACTGGATAAATAAATTGTTTTAAATGTTAATATGTTCAGTTATTTTACCATATTACCTTATAAGGATTTTAATCAAGTAAAATTGAAAATTAAATTGAACTGTATATGTTATTTGATTAAGAATTCTGTAGCTTTTCCCCCTTCAGAATAGCTATTGTGTTTTTGTTTTGTATGCTTTGAATTGCGATTTTTTCTATTGTCAAATAATTGGATGTATGGATTATATTTGCTACATTATCTGTAGCTATCTTGCTACTTTTTGCCCACTTCTCCGTTAACTACTTTATTTACAAATAACACTTTAACAAAGACCCTGGATTGTTCAGAACTTCTATTAACTACTTCTTCTCATTACCATTAGCCAAAGCGGACATAGAATTCCTAGAAGTCCATCTATTCTGTTGTTAGAAACCCTAGATGTGTGTTAGCTCTTCTTCGTGGGCTATTTATAGTCGCTATGGTTACAAAGGGGAATTTCGACTAATGGAGGGGACTGTTATGCAGTATTTGCATTTGTAAGGGGATCTAATATATAGGGCTTGTCGTGACACTTTAGACGAAAAGATGGAGTTGAGGTTTCAAAAGCAATACGTGTTGGACGGAAAGTGCCTAGAAAATGTGGGCTCGCTTAACTTCAAACTATATTAGGTTTTATGTGACTGACATTAAATGGGGGGTATTTTCATTCTGGTGCTTCGCAAGTAGTTTGAGAAGTGATTTGTGAAGAGAAAGTTTGGGGATTGTACTATAAATAAAGTTTGCTTGTAATTATATGAAAAATAATCGAACTTGTTTATTACGCTCTTCTGATTTAATCATCGGATTTTACGATGTAACTTTAAGGATATGATTGTTAAATTTTTAAGATGATCCTGACATTATGAGCATAAAGGATAATTCTTAAGCGTCTTAAATCTTGTTGTAGTCAAGATGTGAAGAAAAAAGTATTTGAGTGTTTGGGAAAATTTCATTCCCGATTTAAAAATAAACTCTTTAGTTTAATTTGCTTTAAAATTCTACGTTCTTAAACCTTAAAGAGTATCAATGCAAATTTACTCGTATTACTTGTCATGAATCTCACATTTACAATTACTTGCAGAAGATATTACTATGGAAATTAACTATGTAATAAATTTTAAGCCAACTATTGTACCTCGAACAGTTAAAAGCTTCTGCTACTGTTGTGCTCCTTACTATAATTGTTGTCTGTATTGTAATCGTTGCACGTCCAGTAATTGCGCGGTGTTCAAAAAAAATTTTTTTATTTCAGCTAGTATAAGTAAAAGGTTTTACAAAGTAACCTGTTTTTATACATAATTTTAGACTGTTTTTACACATTACATTGAAAATTACAGCTTTACTTTTTGACAATTTAAGTTTAATGAGCACCTTGATGATTTAACGAGCTAATTATCTTAGTGCGTATGTTCTTACTGCAAATAAGTTCGGCAATGTGTTTATATAATTTGAAATGCAATTATGATGTAGAGTTTTCGAACGATTGGCAGTTTTGTGAAAGATGATTATGAAAGAAATTTTTGAAAAAAAAAATTTCTAGGCTAAACATCTTATTTTAATCTTATTAAACTCTGCAAGTTGAATTTATTTTGTCAAGTCTATAAATTTAGAATATTTTAGTAGATGAAAGCTCTAAGTATCTGCTTTTGAGTGGTTTTTGAAGTGGAAGCAGGTTATATTCGCAATTGGCAGCTAACAGTCAACAAGTACCCTGAAAAAGTCGCTCTTTTGACAGCTAATAAAAATGCATAGATGGCGAATGCTAAGGCGCTATTAGTTTAATTGTGTTTTAGTACTTTTTAGGTTTCGTCAATTTAAAAGTTGCGGGCTAACGGGAGCAAAATAAAAATAAGGCATAACGTTCGTTTCCGTTATTCAAAACATGAATTTTACTGTTAATTGACTCAAATATACTAAAATGCTACTTTAGATACTAAACTATGTAATTGTTTGATATGGTATTTTCCAACGAAACATAATTATAATTTAGTGTGTATTGGAATAGTTTGATAAAATAAAAACTCTTTTCCATTAAAAAGTAGGTACTAAATGTTTGCAGCTTAAAGAATTAGAATATGGTTTGAAAAATTTTAATACTTTTTTAGAATATTGGAAAGTAAGTAATATCAAAGTCTAAATAAAAATCGGTGTATTTACAGCTATTTGAAATGTTGAGAGATTTTTTTTAGTTGTACTAACTATGACATAGCTTGCAGGCTTTAAATTTTCATGTTCAAGGAGTTTTGTTGATCGTTTATCGTACTACAATTCACTTTCCCATAAAATTCGGCGTTATTTCATAGAAAAATCTCCCTAAATGTACACTTTCGCGGTATATATATATATATAGNAAATATAAATAAATAAATAAATAAAAACTGAGCACTTGTTTTCAATTTGTTATAAGAGATACGTTGTTATGTAATTTTGAGGCATGACATGCAGTATTCCTTCTTACAGTAAAGTTTCTTTGTTCATGAAAAATCTATTTTAAAAAAACATTCGAAAACATAAACCTGCATGCTTTTAAGCTAAATGTAAAGAATAGTTTAAAATTTTTTCGAATTGAAGACAGAATTACGTAAGAATCTATGCAATAAGCAAACATAGTTACTCCGAAAATTGATCTGTCGAGTTCCGAGTGTTTCACAGGAAAAAAAATATACCTTTCTGTCACGCAAACCGCACTTGAATAAATTGATGATAAAACCAAAGTACACACATAAAATAACGTGAGATTTCAAGCAATACTAATCACGTAATGTACTGATCAGGATGTACGAGTAAAAATATTCGGCTAGCATCTTTCGCTGACACATATAAATGTTAATCATAAATTAAAGTGTTAATTATAAAAAAAACATACATAAGTGTTCATTATAAAAAGCTTAAAACTTCAAATTTTCCTTTATCGGCACCTTTTGGTCTTTTCTTATTCTAAAAGTACATTGCATACTCTGCAACGCACAAATCCGAATCTTTTCATATTCTGATTTGTACATCGCACTCTCGTGACACAAGTCCTGGGTGCGATCCTCGGACCGGGCAAGGTTGACTCAGCCATTCATCCCTTCATTTGATCGATAAATGAGTACCAAGCATGCTTGGGAGCTAAACACTCGGGGGTTCTGCGTTCGGCTAACCTTATAACCGGAGCATCTGCTCCTGCACCCCAGAGCCCAAGGTCAGGAAAACTGAGCTGGGCACAATAAACTTTGGCCCTCTATGGGCTGTCGCGCCACTGAGTTTAGTTTAGTTTAGATTTGTACATCACGTGTTATTAAGGTCGAAACATGTCTTGTTATTTCAAGTATATTTTGTTCTACAACAAATGAAAAACATTTTATATTTAATAAAATATTTTACTTGCCGTCATGTCCCATAGTGGACTGACTGATACGGTTTCCAGTAGAATCACCGAAGTGAAGCATCACTGGCTGCGGTCAGTGTGTGGTTGTTTGCCACTGACCATTTCGCAGCTTTGGTGGGGGTAAATTTGATCAGTCTGAGAGGGGACCGAGGTTATGCGGTATCCATTCTCGTAAAAACTGTTCCACCGTAAAGTGTTCGACTTTGCGCGTCTTCGAGCTACCAAAGTGGGAGAGCCATCCCCTCTGCAGAGGATCAAAATTGTGATGGCATGTCTTCGGATGATCCTCAGGGATGTTTCCCAGATCGTAGCTAATAGCATCTTATACAGCTCCCGTGCGATATAAACTACTATTGCTTGCCATCATTACAAAAATAAGTTGGTGTAGTCGTTCCCAATTTATTTTCCAACTACAGAACCCAAAATGATTGACTCCTTTTGCCGAAACTGCGACTTGAGATAATCGAATATATTTGCTAAAAAAACCCTATTTCATAAGCAATCGTCGGGCAATAGTTTAACACGAATCACGGATCCAAAAATTAGTTGTTTA